GTCCTCGATGCGAGGCCGGCGAACGCTGCCCACCGCCGGGCGCCCTACACCAAGCTGGCCACCACTGGGGCCGTGGGGTCGCTCATCCACGACCCGGGCTATGTGGCCGCTGCTGCCCTGGACGCTGCCGGAGCTGATGGCGCGGCTCAGCCCGCCCCGCCTCGGGGCGCATGCCGCTCCAAGGAGCTGTGGGGAGGCTCCATCGACCTCCAGGACGGCTTCTATCAGTTCCTGGTGCCGACGGTCTCGCACTACTTCGGCCTGGGGCTCCAGGACACCGCGGGGGCGCTGGGGGTGGAGACTGTGTTTGACCCCGACCTCGGGCGCGACGTGGCCGTCGCCGAGGACACCCTCCTGGAGGCGTGCTTCGCGGGCTTGCCTATGGGCTGGAGCTGGGCGCTGTTCTTCTGCCACAGCGCCGTGTCCGAGGCTTGCCGTCGGGCGCAGCGGTCGCTGGGGCTTCCCGAGCACCTCTTGGGGGATAGGGAGCCGCCCCCGCCGCTGGCCGCGGGGGCAGCGATCTGCGCCCCCTACGTCGACAACGCCAACGTCATCGGGGGTGACAAGGCCTCCGTCGCCCGCCTCCTCTCCGCCGTGGTTCACGAGCTGGAGGAGGCGGGCCTCGCGGTGCACGAGCGCGTCGACCCCTGCCTGGACTTCGAGGCGCTTGGCCTGCACTTCGACGGGCGCCGCTCTTGGATCCGCCCCACCTCCCGACGATCGTGGAGGCTTTGGTATGGGCTCGGCACGTTGCTCCAGGTCAAGGCCATCTCCCCGGACCACATGCACCGCCTCTTGGGGCACTTATGCCATCAGCTCTGTCTGCGCAGGTGCCTCCTCTCGGTGCTCGGCGAGTGCTACCGGTTCGTCGGCAAGGGGGGCTCCGCGGTGCGACCGCTGCCGGAGGGGGCTCTCGCCGAGCTGGCTGTCGCCCGCGGCCTGTGCCTCTTCGCGCACGTCGACATCGCGGGCGAGATGCTCGGCCGAGCCTACTGCAGCGACGCCTCCACCGAAGGGTACGCCTTCCACTTCACCGCCGCGGACCCCGCCAGCCTCTGGCGGGAGGCCGTCTGGCGCGAGCGGTGGCGCTTCGTGGACGACGACGGCGGGCCCGCAGCGACGACCGCGGCCATCCGCGGGGCCGAAGTCGCCCCCCTCTTGCCCGAGGGGGCCTTCTCCCGCTGGGTCGCCGGCTCGCTGCAGCCGCTGCCCAGCGAGGCCCCGCTGCAGGCTGGTGATCCCCGCTCCCGCCGCCCGCCCCGCGACTTCCGAGAGCGGGTGGGCCTGGTGCCTCCGATCGCAGCGGAGTGGGCGCGGCCCAGCCGCTGGCGCCGTGGGGCCGTGGGCTCCTGGCGGCGCCCGGCGGCGGCGCGCGACGCCCGGTCGCACGGGTGCCACCTCGTCTCCTTCGGCGACAACCTGTCGGAGATCCTGGCGTTTGATCGGGGTCGAGCGAGGGACAAGGAGCTGCTTGCTCTCACACGCCGCGCGCGCGCCCGGCGCTACGTGGAGACCGAGCGCAACCCGTCGGACTTCGACTCCCGCCTGGCCGGGCGGGGCCTGGTGCCTTTCGGGCGCCGCGCGCCGGGGGCGCTCCTCCGCCAGCTGCCCTTGGCCGCCGCTGTGGGGCCAGAGTGGCAGGCAGAGGCGGCCGAGCCAGCTGCGCCCCCTGGGCGCCCTCGCGGGGAGGCCGCGGTCGCCGGAGGCCGACGGCCCGCGGCGCTGGCCGCCAGGGGGGCCCACTCGCCGGGCAGGGGGGGGGGGATTCAGCCCTCCAAAGTCACAACCCCCTGCCCGGCTCCCCCGCCGCGGCCGCCGCGGCCGCCCGCTGACTCTGGCGCCCGCGGGCGCTCCTCCTGGCCCGCCTCGCGGCCGGTGTTCCTGGAGCTCTACTCCGGCAGCGGTGCGGCCACCGCCGCCGCCGCGCAGGAGGGCCTGCGCACCGCGGTACCTGTCGATCGAGTTCATGGGCCTCATCATGACCTTCTGGACCCACGAGTGCAGCGCGAGATCCTGGCCTGGATCACTGGCGGGTTGGCGTGGTGCATCTTGCTCGGCACTCCTACGGGATGGGCGCCGGCCCGCACCGCAGGGGTCGCGGAGACCATCCCACCACCGCTTGCAAGACCTTCACCGCCAAGGTCCTGCGGGTCGCAGCGCGCTGCGGCGTCCACATCATCCTGGAGAACCCTGCTCGCAGCAGCCTCTTCGGCGATCCTGGGATCTCTCGGGCGCTGGCGAGGCTTGGCGCCGTGCGCTGCGACTTCGACATGTGCGCCTACGGGGCCCCGTGGAAGAAGCCGACGACGATCTACACCGCGCTGCCTGGGGGGCCCACCCTCAGTCGCCGATGTCCGGCACCAGGGGCCCCCCATGTCGTCCTCGCCGGGAAGGTGCAGCTGGCGGGGGCCCGCCCGCGGTGGCGTACCTCTTTCGCCGCGGCGTACCCTCCTCGCCTTGCTGTGGCACTGGCCCGGGTGTGCCGCTCAGCTGCGCCGCCCAGCAGCTTCCGCTGCCCGCGGGAGCCCCTCCTGGACGACTTCTGGGACTGGCGTCTGGCAGTCAGCGCGCAGCCAGCCGCAGCCCCCAGCCGACGTGTGGCGGCCCCACGCCTTGAGCGGGCCGCCCGGCTCGGCTGGGAGGGGGCAGTCAAGCACTGGGACGGGAAACCCTGGCGGGATGAACTGGCGGACTTCCGTGCCCATCGTGCCGCCTGCGCCGGCGCGGCGCGCAGCCAGGCGCCGGGCCGACGCCCGCCGCATACGGCGAGGCCCCCGGGGCCTGCCGTCGCGCCGCTGTCCGCCCAACCACAGCTCGGCACTATCAGGAGTCGTTCGCGGAGGTCGGGCGCTGGGCGAGGCAGCATGGGCGCGAGCCGACTGGCGCGGCCTCGTGGGACGCGGTGCTGGACGAGCTTCTGGACACCATGTTCTTCGACGGTCTGCCCCCTGCCAAGGCGAGGTACGCTGTGTATGGCACGGCGTACTGCTTGGGGCTCCCGCCTCGGGACCGAGCCACCCTGCCGCTCGCGGAGGCCGCTCTGCACGGCTTCGCGCGCGCCTCGCCCGAGCAGCCGCGCGACTCGCTGCCGATCGAGTACCTCCACTTGGCCTGCGACGCGCGGCTCCGCCGCGGGGGCACCCTCCCCCTGGTGGCGGCCGCGTCCGTCATCGCCTTCGACTGCTACCTGCGCCCCGCCGAGGTCGTGGCCCTGACGGTGCGGCACGTGACCCCGCCGATGGCGGGCGCTCAGGATGTCGTCATCACCATCGCGCCGATCAACGACGACGACCCGACAGCACCTCCCGCCAAGAACTGCGAGTACGACGCCTCCACCATCGTGGGGGCCCACGACCGCGGCTGGGTGGCGCAGCTGGCCCTCAACTTGGCCGCCAGAGCGTCGGCGGCGCACCCAGGAGACCAAGCCGCTCCGCTGTTTCCTGGTCTGAGCACCGCCCGCTGGGCGGCGGCATGCCGTGAGTACCGCATCGAATTTTTCGATGCCCGGCTGCCTTTCTCGCCTCACTCTTTTCGCCATGCAGGGCCCAGCCACGACGCGTGGCGCTTCAGAGCGAGTGCGACCGCCCTCCAGACCCGCGGCCGCTGGCTGGCCCCCTCATCGGTCCGACGATATGCTAAGCCAGCGGGAATGTTGCGTAGGAGAAGTGCGCTGTCGCCTGCCCAGCTTCGCAGCGCCGCCAGCGCGGCAAATAATCTCGAGCACAGGCTTCTGAACGCGTTCCCAGCTCCTCCCCGACCACCGCCCAGGAGTGCCCTTGCAGGGGCTGCGGGATTCTGGGTGCCAGCGAGGCCGGCAGTGCGAGCCTCCGCTGGTGCCATAGCTTCCGGGTCCAAGCGACCCCGTCAGGATCCTGCCGAGTTTGCTCGGCCGCGGCGGCGCCCCAGCGCAAAATGAAGTCCCTTGCCTTTATTCTCTTTGAAGGCTGCCGCCGTCCCCGCAGAGGACGGCAGGATAGATGGTGATTGAAAGTGTGACACATTATCACTGTCCGCATCGGAGTCCTCTGCAGCTTTTCTGGCTCCTCCCTTCCCCCTCCTCCTCCCTCTTTTTTCCCTGTGCTCGATGCTCTTTCAAACTTGGGTGCCAGCGAGGCCGGCAGTGCGAGCCTCCGCTGGTGCCATAGCTTCCGGGTCCAAGCGACCCCGTCAGGATCCTGCCGAGTTTGCTCGGCCGCGGCGGCGCCCCAGCGCAAAATGAAGTCCCTTGCCTTTATTATCTTTGAAGGCTGCCGCCGTCCCCGCAGAGGACGGCAGGATAGATGGTGATGATGATGATGATGATGGTGATGATGGTGATGATGGTGATGATGATGCTGATGCTGATGATGCTGATGCTGATGATGATGATGATGCTGATGCTGATGCTGATGCTGATGCTGATGCTGATGATGACGATGACGATGACGATGACGATGACGATTACGATGACGATGACGACGACGATGACGATGACGTGACGATGACGATGACGATGACGATGACGATGATGATGATGATGATGATGATGATGATGATCATGATGATGATGATGCTGATGATGATGCTGATGCTGATGCCGATGCCGATGCCGATGTTGATCATTATGAGCATCATCATCACCAGCAGCAGCATGATGATGACGAGGAGGAGGAGGGGGAGGTGGGAGAAAGGGGGGGGCAGGCTGGACGCAAGGGAGGGAGCGGGAGGGAAGCGGGCAATGTGACTGGGGAGGGGGCAGGACAAGCCCGCGGCGCGCGCGGATCTCGCCCGATAGCTTGGTGGCTGGTGGGTAACGGGGCGGGCCGATCCGTCGAGCCCCATCCTCCTCCTGCTCCCCTTCCTTCTTCTCCTCCCCATCTTCCTCCTCCCTCCTCTTCCCCCCCGTCTCCTCCCCCTCCTCCCTCTCCCTTTTCCTCCCCCTTCCCTTTCTCCCTCCCCGCCCCCCCCCCTTTCGCGCAAGGGTGGGGGGAGGGGCCGATTTGACGAACCCCCCTCCGCAG